CGCTGGGTTGGTAGAGAAAGAAAGCAAAGTAAGAACAGAGTTTGAAAGTAGGAATAAGTCACAGTGAGAATGTGTACCGTATGGAAGATGGTAGTGTTATTGAATGTGCATAGTATATATGAGAGGGGACTTGATAAATATGAATTATGAGTAGTTTATAAAATTGATGTTAGAGCTATGTGTGGGTGTGCATATAAAGTATGCAGAAAAGAGAGAGACTCCTGAAAATAACTTCAGCAACTTGATACACAATTATTTGAAAATATATCCATGCTTGGTAAATTAACTTTCTGAGCTATTTATCCCAGATCTAATAAAGTTATAGGAAGATACGATAAAAGAGCTACTTTTATATATTAAATAGCTCTCAAAAATATTTCAGCTACCATTATTCTCATCTGAATATTTATATGCACACATAGGCTCTAACCATTCAATATTTATAAATACCCTCATAATTCAATATTTACAAGTACCCTCATATATATACGCACACATTAATATACATAATCCTTCCATACGGTACAATTCTCAATGGTTTATATTATTCATAGATTTAAATATCTGTATTACCTTTGCCTTTCATTTCTAATAAGAACCAAGAGTTGATATCGTAACTTCACTATTAAAAATAAAGCTAAATATTAATACTAGTATGCTTTGATGGCAAGAAGAAATTATTGGGTTTCATTAAATCCTGAGTAAAAAAAAAATATTTTAATTAACATCTGTTTACAAACCTGTAAAAGTTGCATGGCAACTTCATAGATACTTCTAGAAGAATCAGCTGCTTTAAACAGTATGAGATTTAGAAGCATCACTGTGTCACACTGATAATCCCTACGAATAAATTTTACATGTTAGGTAAATAAAAATGTTTAGAGGCTTTCCCACCAGTTAATAAACATGTATTAAGTATCTTCTAAGCCTATGAGATGATTTTTTCTTTAAGGCAATAGGTATAACATTATCCTTATTTTGGTTAAATTCCATCAGAGCTTAAGGAGAAAATACAATCTACGGGTTCTACATCCATGGCTCCAATCAATCATGGATAGAAAGTATTTGGAAAAAAAAAAAACTGCAATGCCAGGGTGCTCACGCTATCCTAGTCACTTTGGAGACTGAGGCTGGAGATAGCTCATGAGGCCAGGAGTCGAGACCCAGCCTGAGGAACATGGAACCCATCTCTACAAGAAAAAAAATCAGAAGAAACAGCTAGGCATGGTGCACGTGCCCAGCAGTCTGGTACGTCGGGAGGCTGAGCAGGAGGCCTCGGAGCCCGGGCTGAGGTTGCAATGATTATGATTGTACACCATTCCCTGTAGCCTTGGCAACTGAGAGAGACCCTGTCTCTAAAGAAGAAAAAACAAACCCAACCTGCAATACTGTACTGGAACACGTACAGACCTTTTTCCTTTTCATATACCTAATTTAGTAAGCAACTATTCATGGGAGGGCATTTGATTAGTATTAAAAGAAGGGTCTGGATGATTTGAAAGTGCATGGAGGGATTGGCGTAGGCGAGATGCAAATTCTGTGATTGATATAAGGACTGGAGCATGTGGATCTTGGGGTCTGAGGACTGTCCTTGGAACCATTTCCCCAGGATTACAGGAGCGGTTAATGACCAGCTATTTGCTTTTTTTTTTTTAATTATTTTTTAGAATTTTTTTAATTTAAGTTTATTTTTTTATTCTAATTTTTAAAGATTGTCAATGCAGAGAACTTAGTATGTCTGAATTTCAACAGAAACCCTTTATTTTTTTGAAGACAGAGCTGACGTTGCTGCCAGCTCAGTGCCGTGTCGTCGAGCCTAGCTCACAAGCAACCTCCAACTCTGCTCAAAGCATTCTCCTGCCTCAAGCCTCCCAAGAGTAGCTGGACTGCAGCATCGCACACGCCCCTGCAGTAATTTTTTTAATGAGGTTTTTTATACCAATTAAATTCTCTATTTTTATTAGAAGACAGGGTCGTCACTCTTGCTCAGGCTGGGTCTCGAATCCTGATTACCTCGAGGTGGTCCTCTCCTCTCTTTTCTCTATTTTCTTATGTTCAGGCATTATTAAGCTCTTTCTCTTATCCCTTGCTTTATATTATTAATACTTTTGCTTTCTTTCTTTTTTTTTGTTTGAGACCAAAGTCTCGCTTGTGTGGTGTGGTGAGTGCCGTGGCATCAACCTCGGCACAGCAACTCTCAGACTCCTGGGCTCCAGCGATCCTCCTGCCTCAGCCTCCCGAGTAGCTGGGATTACAGACAGGCATGCGCCACCATGCCCGGCTCATTTTTTCTATGTATGTAAATAGAAAGAAACCCTTTCTTAGAAACAAAAACGAAAGCATAGAAGGAAAACACCTCCCCTAAGATATGAAAGACAGAGTACCTGTTCTGGAACACGTTAGCAATGGCTTTAAAGCAGCCGGCGGCCACCCTCCTGGAGCCCGTGTAGCACCGGTCCACGGCCCAGTACAGGAGGTTGCTCTGATCCGGGTTCAGCTCCAGCAGGAGCGTGACTGCCTCGCAGCCCAGCTGATGAACCTGCACCGAGATTGCAGACCGCCCGGGAGAGACAAAGTTATGCACCACCTGTTTCCCTACATTGTTTTACTCAAGTACTATAATGCATGCACGCACATGATCGACAGATGCAGCCTCCTTCTGTTCGTCTCCTTCCCAGGCCATTCAACCAGCAGAAAAAAAATAAAATAAAATAACACGGATGAATTATCCTTGGCCTCTTGTTGTTTTTTTTTTTCTACACCAGACTCTTTTAGAACGATTCTCTCTGCCAACAGAGCCCAGAAGGCAGCCGATGAATATGAATAGTGATTAAGTGCTTTCAGAGAAATCAGTTATTAACCTCCCTAATTATTTTTTGTCAAGCTTTATTCTTGTTTTTGATAAGCCAACAGAAAAATTATTCGGAGGGGGGGAAATAAATGTAAGTCTTATTTTAAATCATGAAGTCTGCATGTGTACAGTATGATAGTAAAGAGGGCAAGAAAGAATGATTCATTGGAAGGGGTCAAAAAAAAAAGAAATTAAACGTAGCAAATAACATTTTTGCCACAGAGCTCAATATATTCTATATTAATATATATATATTTTTTAATTATAAATATTTGTCTTTTCTTTTTTTTTTCTTTGCCGGTATTTAGCCTTGGATGGAGTTTGCTATGTTAATATTTTATCTATTGACTCAGAACCCTAAGTTCTAAGGAGGAATATATATACACTGCTGTATTCACCCTATGCTATAAAAGTGAAATTAAAATTATTCAAATGAGTAACGAGAATTAGAACTTTTCTTACATTATGGCATCCTATTTAATTTTACATAACAGGCTTTTTTGCATGTAATTCCAACCTATTTTATTAAAAAAAGAAGATTTATTTTCAGTGGGCCACACATTAAATCCAAATACTGCAGTGGCAATCAATGGATTATGAGCTTTTAAGGAAACTGTCCTAATTACCTTTTTGTCCAGAGAGTCCAAGATGTTATCCAGCCACTTGTACAAATAGCCATCGGACGACAGCCCCACATTATCTGCAACAGGGCCACAACAGAGTACAGCGGACATAGCCTTCGAACGACAATATTAGGGTTACATTTAAAACATTTAAGAGGTCACAATGTTGGCTGCTTAATGAGAAGAGGCAGTATATTTTCACGCATGCGGATCTAGCCATAATACATTGATGTTTCTAGTTGCAAAGGAAAGTATCATAATAATTATTAAAACTAAGAAATTTATTGTAAGTAAGTATCACGCATGATTTACCAAGTTAGACATGAAGCTTGAACGGTACTGGAAGAGAAGATAAAAAAAGACCAAGAGAAAGTACTTAAGTAGGAATAAAAGTAGGTATTTCTCTGAGGCAATCCTCAGTTCTTTAAGAAAACGGTGATCAAATGTTGGTAGATTCTGTAATTTTATTTTTTTTTTTGAGACAGAGTCTCACTCTGTTGCCCAGGCTAGAGTGCAGTGCCATGGTGTCAGCCTAGCTCACAGCAACCTCCAACTTCTGGGCTCAAGCGATCCTCCTACCTCAGCCTCCCGAGTAGCTGGGACTACAGACATGCGCCACCATGCCCGGCTAATGTTTTTTCCATATATTTTTAGTTGGGCAATTAATCTCTTTCTATTTTTAGTAGAGAAGGGGGTCTCGCTCTTGCTCAGGCTGGTTTCGAACTCTTGACCTTGAGCGATCCTCCCGCCTTGGCCTCCCAGAGTGCTAGGATCACAGGCGTGAGCCACCGCGCCCAGCCTGTAATTTTAAATAAACTTATGATTTAAGTGTTTGAAAATGGTAGACAAATATATATATATATATATTTTAATACTCTCAGGTTCTCTGAAGAATTCTTATCCTCATTATAATACCGGTTGCAGAGAGACATAAAAATATTTAGCAAATTCCATCCTCTGTACTACAAAATAAAAAAAAAAAAATATTTAGCACTGCTCTTCTTTTTAATCTTTTTTTTTAATTCTCTTATTTATCAGGTGTCAGGAGGGTGGGGGGGGAGGAGGGGAGGGGTGTATACAACCACAACGAGTAAGATGTGCAACGTTTGGGGGATGGACACGCCTGAAGCTCTGACTTGAAGGGGGAGGGGAGCATGGGCAATATATGTAACCTTAACACTTGTAACCCCAAAATACGCTAAAATAAATAAATAAATAAATAAATAAATAAAATAGCCAAATAAATCCAATAAATAAGTTAAACCAAAAAAATAAAAAAAAAGAAAGAAATCAGCTAAGTCAATACCTTTAATGCACAGTATTGATGTCTATTAATTTGCATATTTCTGTCACTGTATCGGTCCAAGGGTGTAAACATGATGCTAAAAGGGCCCGCCCAGTGACTGAACAGCATGAACAGGCTGTGACGAAGGCTCTGTTGAGGGAAAATACTTCTTCTCTGGTGCACTGCAAATAAAAACAAAACAAAACGAAATGGTGGAAAAAAATTCACTTCCATTTCTTTTTACATTAACATGCATGCCAGCTTATTTGTTCTTGAATACATCATGCTGTAAAAAAGAATGCGGAAGTTTTCATTTGCAACTGCCAAAAACCCTTTGCAGTAGCAGACGTCGTTTGCATGTATATACAAGTCGCAGAAAAAAAGTTTGGGGTGCAGGAGACACAGGAGCTGGAAGGCAGGCAGAGGGGTGGGGACAGGAGCCCGCCTGTCCCTGGGCTGTCCCCGGACTGTCCCTGGCTATGGGGTGACCTTGGTTCGCTGCAAAGTGAGGGCTTTGGACTAGATGAGTGCTTTTATTTAGACTTTGCATTTTTTTTTTTTTTTTTTTACCAGGAAAGGTGCCTTTACAAAAAGGAACTTTCCATGGAATCTTGATGCACGTAAGAGGTAAAAGGGGCAGCTCGTCTAAGTGGAAGTGGCACGTGAGAGCTGATGTCCAAAGCCATCCCCCTGCCACCTGCTGACGGCACCTGGGAACCCCAGGGCTCGGAGAACCAGCAGAATTTGAAAACCAGGTTGAGGTTTTTCAATGCTCCCCAAGGATTTTTTTTTTCCCATTTTGAAATTCTACTGTACAATTTCTCGACGTTGTTCCTTGTTGAAGAAACTCAACTGTATTACGAGAAACCAACGTGGAAGGTGTAGAAAAGTGTTTAGTAGCAGACCAAATCATATCTTCAAATGAGCGAGCTTCTACTCGGTAAATTTAGGGGGAAAAAAGCTCTTTTCCTTTAAATAGCATCGTTTTCCTTCCAAAGATCGAAGCAGGGCTCCCTAACTCGTAACGAACGTACCTCACTAAGTGCTTAAGTGACCCTGTTATAAAACACAACCCATGCTTCTTTAAACATCAACTGTTTGCAAATACCAGTAAAGTAACAATTTTGTCTTGCAGAATGAATATGAAACATTTATATTTACATTGTAATCCAAAGGTTATAGTCACATTTTTGTCTTATACTTGCAAAGAATTTATGACTTTTAAAAATGCAATTGTGTAAACTAATCTTCCTAGCACCTAAACCAGTACTTGCCAATATATTAATAGTACCTGCTCAATAATCAATCAATTACACGAATAATGAATCAATTAATTAAATCAATTAATATCACTATGTCCTTATTACATTATGTATCTATGGCCTACCGTGTTCTCCCATTACTCAAAAGTATCTTGTTAATTTTATTCTCGGTTATTAATTGGAGCATTACACTTTTAGCTCATTGCATCTAGAATAACCTTATCCAAAGAGCTTATTCCATCGATTTCTTCAGACTTTTGTGTCAATGCCTTGATTATTGCTGAAAACCTGTGCTGACTTGCTTTTTAATTTCCATTCATTCACGCCAATTCAAAGGTAAAACAAACTCCAGAAATCCATGCTACCATGCTATTTTTGCACCATGTTCACAAACTGCTTTATAAACTTAGATTAGAAAAACTCAGGGGAAGAAAAGCTATGACGGTCCCTTAAATACTAAATGCTTTAAGAAGTGGAAAATCATACCTGGAACATTCTGAATGATATTCGCCACTAAGGCACTAAAATGGCATCGGATATCTTTCAAGGTGTCAGAATCTTTTTCATTTTCTGCCTCTAGCAGTTGTCTGGTTAAATCAACATACTCCAATAAAGTGTTGTTGAGGAAATGGGTTTCACTATCAAGGCCACCACTTGCACTGAAAATATCGGAGAAAATAAATGACAGCATGTGACTTTAAATTCTTGTAATTTAAATCAAAACAAATTCCCAGTAATCAAAATCAGAATAATACCTATATAAGCTTTGCATGTTCGTGGGAGTTTGCAACTTACCATACCAGAATGAAATGAACACGATTTTGACTTACTCAAATATAAAAATAGATGGTGCTTCTTAATCAAGAAACTACTAATGCAAGCTATATTACTCAATGCCACGTCTAACTTTAATCAACTATTCTGAGTGCTAAGTGTTATTATTCCCTGTCAGAAGATACAGATTTTTAAAAAGGATGCATTTGGGAGGAAGAGGATGAGTTTAGAGAGGCAGACAGAGGACAGATCAGTTCTATTCATTGTCATCATAGCCATGCCTATTATTAATAATAACATTAATAATAATTAATATTCAATATTTAGAAAGACTATAAATAACTAGAGGAAAGGTAATTCCATATACTAATATGATGGAATTAGCCTAGCAGCTTTTGAAAGTTATAATCTAAAATCTAAAATTATTTGGGAAACCACAATGAAATAGTGAAGGATTGTTCTGTACTTGTTGGTGTATTCAATTCATTTTTTATTTGGAAAAAAAATTAATAATTAATAGTTATGTTGATATTAATAATGTGTTACTATAATATTAATAACATAACTATGATACTAATAATTAATAACAATCATCATCATCAAATATCCATAAGTTACTTGTTCCCAGAAAGATTCTCTTGGTATTATTATCAGGGATATAAAAATTTAAGAGAATTCCAGCAAGAATGAGGGAGAGTGCTGGATTTCAAATCTTTCTAGACCAATGGAGTTGCCTTAAGAATCTAAGCAGTGAGATTCTCTTTGAAGCAAGGGATTTGTGCTTGGGAACCACTGACTGACAGGGGGGACATTTGGTTCTTGGATTCCTGTCTTATTTCATCGGTCATTAAGCGTGCAGCCAGTACCTACTTTGAATGTTTTTGTGAGAATATAAACAAGTTACTGCAGATGAAGAGGCTTAGTAAACAATAAGTGCAACTTAAATGATTAGCTATTATTATACACTCACATCTATTTAGGTCAGCTTTTCCTTGTTATATTTGAAAAGCACTTCTAATGTATATTGTTTTAAAAGAATATTTTTTCTACTAGTTGTGAGTAGCTTTTTTAAATTATATTTTCCTTTTCATTTGTATTTTTCTGTTCTTTCTTCTTTTCCCAGAAGCCATGGCAATGAGTAGCTTTTTAACCTACATTCTAAACCCATGACAAGAGTAAGAAGTTTTCAATGCTACTACAATATATTAAAAATATCAGCATACAAGAAAAGACATGTGTTGAATGAATAAATTTAAGAGCAAAGTTTTTCCTTTATTCCTTCTATGAGTGTTAAAATTCTGGGTCATGGCCTATCAGTGGATGGAAAACTGATTTAGTGGATTGCTACCTGCACCAGGATAAAACATTCCTTCTTTTAACAAATACTCATTGAATATCTACTACAAATCACGCACAAGGAATCCACTGGGTGAACAAAACAAAGACACTTGCTTTCTTGGCATTTAGCACTCATTTTTTTCCTTAACCAAGGAAAGAAAAATATCCATATTTGTGATAACTTTCTATTAATTTCTCTTCAAAGAAAAATATCCTAAAACAAAATATACAACTGTTTTAAAAAATCATTGCTACTCAACAATGAGTATAGATTTTATAGTTAATTTTAAACATACAAACATTTTGCATTCCCCAAAATAGTACCAAAGATTCTTCACTCACTAAAAAGACATTAAAAGCAAACAAAAAGAAAAGATTCATATGTATTAGAGGTGTTAATTTTTGCATCAAGCTCCTATGTGTCTATTTTACTTTTCTTAACTTCTAATGTTTTATTTTTGTGGAGGACAGAAAAGAGAATGAGGTTTTCATTTTCTTTTTCATTTGCTTTTCACTTACTAAAGAAAAATCAATGGTTTAAATTCTCTTTGATTAAAGCCTGTTCTGAAGGATACTTGTCAAAAGCATCCAACATGGCCGAGTGCGGTGGCTCACCCTGTAATCCTAGCACTCTGGGAGGCCAAGATGGGTGGATCGCTCAAGGTCAAGAGTTCGAAATCAGCCTAAGCAAGAGCGAGACCCCATCTCTACTATAAATACAAAGAAATTAATTGGCCAACTAATATATATAGAAAAAAATTAGCCGGGCATGGTGCCGCATGCCTGTAATCCCAGTCTCGGGAGGCTGAGTCGGGAGATCGCTTGAGCCAGGACTTTGAGGTTCTGTGAGCGAGGGAACCACGGCACTCCACTCTAGCCTGGGCAACAGAGTGAGACTCTGTCTGCAAAAAAAAAAAAAAAAAAAATGCATTCAACATTAAACATGAACGGTATTAGGTACACTAAGAAATACTCAGGACAAAAGCTAAAGTAACAATGCTATGCTGTGTGCACAGTTACTCTATTTGTTTGATTATTAATGCTTTTATTCCTTAAGAACTCTTTTCAGAGAGTGATGCACACAAGTTTTTTGTTGCAAAGGTGCTTTTCAACACTTTTTTTATGCATTTCAGGAGAAGAAAAGATTATGTTCCCTCATCATTCTAGAGTTTTAAAAACCCGAATCCAATACTGACCTGTGACTAATGACACCAGCATCGGCCAGCAGTTC